TTTTTTTTGTGTACATATCACATTTAGCTGTATTTTATTTTTGTGAGTTTTCAGAAAGCCAGGGATCTGTCACTGTACAGGTCAATCATCTACCAGTCATCTATTTGTTTTCTTCTTTACTTAATGCTGCATTGGTTTACTATGTGTTTTTGATACGTTCAACTGCTTTTACTTGTGGAGTTGACTTGAAAAATGCAGACATGTTGCAGTTTTCCGCACCGCTTTGCCCTGCAGATGGCAACTGTGTTAAAAGTGTGGACTGAGGACATAAAACTATTGCTGAGAGCTGTATTTTTGTTTGCAAAAACTCAGCTCTCTGCTCAAGTGTGAACCTGCTTTAAGGTCCATGCATGATGGCTTAAAAAAAAACCTCTGCTCTTAGAGGCATGTAGCATTTTTTTTAATGCTTCTAGAAGAAGCTAATGTTATCCTATGTGTCCATGCACAGATAGTCTAAGGGCGTTTTTAAAGGCAGAAAAAGAAAACCCTTTGGTTTGCATTTTTTAGGAATAATTTTTCTGGCATAAAAATAGCTAAATGCTCCTAAACACTGCTAATTTCTTCTAAACGCCAACCCTCTGCGGTTTTTTTTTTTTCTTCTAATGCATTGTTGTAAAAAAATGCTTCTAAGCGCTTATGCTCCTAAACACTCTTAAATGCTGCTAAACGCTAGCAACAAAAATCACCTAGGTGATCGAAGTGGGAGTGGGTACCTGTCAAATTTGGGTACCCCCTCCCCAAAGGTGCCAATCCCTAATGAGGGGGATTAAGCTTTATAGCGGAACTTACCCTTTTGGGTGGAGCTCCACTTTAAGTATGACGTTTATTTTTAAAAAATTCCTTTAGTATCACTTTAAGTATAACTACTGCTATAGTCTCCAGGGGTTCTTACTCAGATGGCAGTCACTTTCCTGGACTGGACTTTTCTCAGCTTAGTGCCAGGAGCTACAATATCGCTTTCACGTTTAAAGGATTGCAAAGTTTTAAAGTAGAATATTTTATACACAATTACATTGGTCCACCACACCTCTCCACTTCATCCAATCAGAGACTGCTTTGCATTCATTTAAATAATAAAAAGCATTCTCTGAGAAATGCCCATGCTGAGTGGCTGGCCAGCTGCATTCCCAATGCAGCATGGAAGCCACTTGGCACAGGACCCAAAAGCTAGCGGAGATCACTGGAGCAGTGGTGTCTACTTCATTGATCTCTAGCTTCCAGGTATGGTGTATGCCGAGTTATATTGGTCCAAGCAGGAACAATGTAACTGTGTTTAAATATCCATACCTGGAATTCATCTTTAAAGCAGTTTCAACTAACAGCTAACACTTTGTGTGTTCTAAGATTTCCCAAGTGTGTCTTTTGTGGTTTGTTGGTCTCACTTTGCAAGATTGAGTCTAGCTTCAAGTGAAAATAATTAGTTATTGAATTTTGGCATGTGCAAACTAAATCCTTAGACAGCAATATGGGATTTTTAAAAAATGTTTCTGTGTATTTTTATTGCTCCCTGTGCTAGCTGCAGTATGCAGAAATACTGCTCCAAATTAGGACACAAAGTTTTTATAAATTGATATGAGATATTCAACAGGAGAAATAGAATCCCACACAACAGAAGGACAGATCTTCATCCTATCTCCCAATGCAGCCCTTAATAATGTTTTCATTCTCTTTTTGTAAAGCCAACCATATTGATAATCCTCAGACATTTCAATCACCATATCCTGACAGTTTTATCAGGGTTGGGCGATGATCATCTAATGTCTATGGATACCTTATATTGATTATTATTATTATACATGATTTATATAGCGCCAACAGTTTGCTCAGCGCTTCCATTATAATGGGAGACACAGTACACGAGACAGTACAGTAACAATACAATTCAACACACAGGGGTTTGAGGGCCCTGCTCCTTGGAGCTTAGATATATTGAAAAGTTTATTGATTTATATACTGATTAGCTTAGGTTTATATTGAAAAGTTGACTGCACTATCACAATAAATCTTATTTTAGCACTTTTCTTATTAGTCTATGAGAAAAAGCAGTGGTATATGTTACCTTTACTGAAAATAGCTTGAGTTTCATTTAGTTTAGCTTGCACAATCCTAAAATAGGGGTTATATTTTTTTTTTTTTTTGGCTGGTGAAAAACCCATTCTCAGTCTACTCTAAGGGGCTTATTGGGGAAAAAGGAGTCTGGGCTACCTAGGAGTGGATTTTAAGGAGGAGAAAAAAGCACCAGCTGTCAATGTGTTTTAACAGCGCCCCAATAGCTGAGGCCTAGTATGTGTTTTACACACAAATGCACTGGCACATGTTCAAAACACACTGCAGTTGCGTCAATGTTAACAGTGCCCCAAGCACAGTACGCAAACACAGTGCGTTTGCATGCACCAGATCGCATGGTATAAATGTACCATGTGATCTGGTTGCAGTGTGTTTCCATAAGTAGTGCATGCACTACTTTTGGTGCGATGCAGTGCGAATGGGCTTAAATTGCACGCACTGAATCGCATGTAAATCAGTCAGGAACATGCAGTTTGTACCTTTTGTGATCCATAGTGTGAACCGACCCGTTACCGTGGAAGTGATTGATTCAATAAAGAGAAACTTTACACAAAAAAATTTAATGAATTAGGCAAATAAATGGTGAATTTTTATTGAACATGTACTCCTGTTGCATCAGTATGTTGATTAAAGCTCTGAGCAATTTCTAGGGCTTCTCATTCTGTGCTTTCACAATCATTGCCCAAACAAATTAAGACACAGTTGAGAAGTTCAACTGTACAAAATTATGGAAGTCATTTTCTTAGCACTGAGAGTTAATCTTCTACTCAAAGCAGTATTAAACCCAAAAGCAAACATTTATTGCAGCTTGTCAATTCTTAGATGTGATGGCTGCATTAGTTTCCTTTTTTAAACTTTTTTTTTTTTTTCTTGTTTCTTCATCTGGTCATCCAGCCAGTAAGTCTGTTGTTTTTCAACAGAAAAGCTCTCTTGCAGTTACAAGGATGGGACAGACTATTTAACACTGGCAAGCGTGCCTAAAATGATGGACTTTTAGTTATTTATGTAAAACCTTTATCCTAACAAGAAAAAAAAAAAACTGTTTGCTGTACCTGATTATAAAGTATTGGAGTTCACCTTCAATTTGTTAGTGTATTCAAATCTGCCAGTCCATCTAACACTACCCCCCCCCCCCCCCCCCCCCCCCCCCCCCCCCCCCCCAGATTGGCATTGCTGCTGTCTAAATGTTCCCCCTGTGCTCATCCAAAGTGCAGGCACTCTAATACAGGAGTTTTGTTACTGGCCAGATCACCACGGAAAAGCAGGGTGAAAGAAAGAAAACGGTTTCAGGTACCACATCTAGTGATTGGTAAGCTGCAATATATTACATTTTTGGTTTGGGGTTTAATACTGCTTTAAGGTATTATGGTTATTCTGCAGTAACATTTGATGGTCATTTAGTCATTGGTCAACATACAGTAAAAGGAAGGGTATGGCATTTGATAATTAGCAAAATGTATGTAAATTTGGGTGATACTTTCACTAAATCCAAAACCCAAACTACAGTCAGATATAATACAAATCACAGTCCTATTCAGTTATGCTCAGTAAGTCTCCTACATACGAACAGTCAAGTTGTGAACTTTCCGGTTACATTTACACCTGAGCACTGAAAAAAAAATAGTGATTTTTAGGAGTTTTTTATATGTGCTTTTTTGAGCGTGTTTGCAATTGTATACAGACATTTTTAGAAGAGTATTAGACATTTTACATGTGTATTCAAGTTTCAGGCTTTTTAGTTTTAGCAATGGAAATCACTAGGAGGAAGAGATTAGTTATTATAAGCTAAAAAAAATGCTCAAATCAAGCATTGAAGTTTATGGGGGACAAAAACACTCAATTCTGCCTGAAAGGTAACTCATGTACTTTTTGGAGCGACAGACATTTTGTTACAGGCAACAGAATGCTCAGATGTGAACATGGGTCATTGAGATGAATAGGATTTTACTTGTTGAGTGTTTTTGAGCTTCAAGCTACAATTTACAAAACACTCAAGTGTGATTGGGGCCTCAAAGATGCAAACATCATGCAAACACACTCCCAGCGCACTGAACAAAAAAAAACTGAGAGATCACCATACCAAGACAAACTATATTAGTGCAATTATCTTCGGCACTGTGCCTTTGTGTTCCGACAGAGGGACTCCCCCCTGCCAGAACACACTGATCAGCACTTGCAGCCATTGCCTGCGAGCGTTGAGCTTTGTTGGACGAATGTGCTCCCAGAATATAACTCGTTTGTAAGTAGGGGGACTTCTGTAGTTTCTGTCCATTTGGTGTCCAACCACAGGATGGGGTGGACTGGTAAGTAAGCTGTAGGAAACCAGTCTTGCAGTGCTTTATGTCAGGGATGCTAGATCACAGGAGTGGCTGACCAGAAATACAACTATTTTTGGAGGTAAAACAGTTCACAAATATGTATATAAACTTTGCCTGGAGTTAAAACTTCAAGCAGCACTTTAAAAAATGTTCGCACATTTTTACTTTATTATTCCTTTGTAAATAAGTACTTTTTAGGACAATGTGTTTTGCATTTGTTTTAAAATGACGCTCTTTATAATTACACACAGACCATGATGTAATTGCTGAAAATGTGAGATGTATATATTCTGTACTATCTGAGCTTTTAACACAGAGTTTATGATAATAAAGTATCTATTTTTTCTCATTTGCAGTTATTACAGTACTATTCTTTAACTATAAATACATTTTGGAAAATACTACATGTGCTTGATGCTGGAGGGCATAAAGAAAAAAGCCCGCACTCTGCAATGAAAACAGGCAAATAGATGTGCATCATTGTTGTGTCAATGCCCCTTATAGCTGCACAACTTATTTATGCCAGTAGGTGGTTGCACTACTTATTAATGCAAGTTTTTTTCAACCTGAGCAGCAAGGGACAGACTGACATTACTCAGGTTTTATTTATCAACCAGGGGCGGACTGACCATTTGGAAACTCAGGCACTGCCCAAGGGCTCGGGGTCAGTAGGGGGCCCCATGAGATGCCCCTGGTACCTTTTTTATAGGCTTTTTTGAGTTTGGGCAAGGACACAGGGGCCCCATGATCCCCTATTGCCCGGGGGCCCCATGAGTTGTCAGTCTGCCCCTGTTATCAACTATCAATTTTTTTATACATAAAACATCAGAAAATCCTCAAATGAGCTGAAAAACCAACACCCCTTTCAATGCTCTTACACACTATGGCCAGCCTGTGCGGAAGCCAGTTAGCCAACCAGTGTAATTTGGGACATGGATGAAACTGGAGAACATACGAAGTCCATGAAGACAGTTTCACTGGTATATCAAAACCATTACACTGTTTCTGCAAGGCAAAAAGGTTAACCTCTTAAAGCTGGTTCACACCAGATGCAGACCAGTAAATTTTTATTCTGCATCAAAAACGCATGGATAACGATCAACATGGATTCCTATGGCCCTAGTTCACACCAGTGCAGTGCGTTCCAGAGCAGGAAACAAAAGTATAACATGTTGCGCTTTTTTTTTTTTTGTATGGAACGCACCTGGAATGTGGGAAAATGCATCAAAAATACTGGAACTCGTGTCCTCAAGATGCAAAAAATTAAAAAAAGGGGAAAAACACACTAGGATGCATAAAAAATGCACTGGAGCACATTAAAAACATTCAGGCAGAAACGCATCCAGAACACAGAAGGTGTGGTGTGAATTGACCCTTAGGCTAGGTTCACACTATTGTAGGTGGTTGTAGGTGAAGGAATCGCAGTTGTTCCCACACCTGCAACTACCCACAGCCAAAATATGCTGCTCTTTACAGACGCGTGGGGCTGCCATTCTTCCTTAATAGCACCCCCACACATCTAAAATTGCAGCACATGTGAGCATCTGTGGGGCATCCTCAAACGGAAGGTGGTAGGAGGCGCAAGGTCTCTAACATCCACCAGCTCCATGATGTCATCATGGAGGACTGGAAGAGGACTCCAGTGACAACCTGTGAAGCTCCGGTGAACTCCATGCCCAAGAGGGTTAAGGCAGTGCTGGAAAATAATGGTGGCCACACAAAATATTGACACTTTGGGCTAAATTTGGAGATTTAAACTTAGGGGTGTTCTCACGTTTGTTGCCAATGGTTTAGACATTAATGGCTGTGTTTATTTTGAGGGGACAGCAAATTTACACTGTTATATAAGCTGTACGCTGACTACTTTTACATTTTAGTAAAGTGTCATTTCTTCAGTGTTGTCACATGAAAAGATATAATGAAATATTTACAAAAATGTGAGGGGTGTACTCACTTCTGTGAGATACTGTATATGTAAAGCATTGCATAAATTGTCTGTGCTAAATAAGTACCTGTAATATATATAATATAAGTGTAGCAATGTAAAGGGGTAAAGAAAGATATAGATTATGTAATGTGTACCCATGTAGCATATGGAGGGACTCTTAACTAGCATTTTTGTCTGGACTGATGCGGTGGGTATATGGGGGCAGGGCTGAACCAGCTAGGGTCTGCTTTCCAAAAAGGGGTCATTTGGGGGGGTATTTGTACTGTCTTGGCATTTTAGGGCCTCAAGAAATGAATAGGCTGTCAGTACATCAGGATTAACCAATTTTCAAATATATATGCCAGGGTTTCTCAACCAGAGTTCCTTGGAACCCTAGGATTCCTCCAGGGGTTGTTAGGGGTTTCTTGGGCAATGAACAATTTTTGCCTGTTAAATACACTATATTGCTAAAAGTATTGGGAGGCCTGCCTTTATATGCACATGAACTTCAATGATATCCCAGTCTTGGTCCACAAGGTTCAATATTTAGTTGGTCCACCCTTTGCAGCTATAACAGCTCCTGGAAAGCTGTCACAAGGTTTAGGAGTGTTTCTATAGGAATGTTTGACCATTCTTCCAGAAGTGCATTTGTGAGGTCAGGTACTGATGTCGGACGAGAAGGCCTGGCTTGCAGTCTCCGCTCTAATTCATCCCAAAGGCTGATATATCCCATAGTTTGTAGATGCTATAACTTTCACACAAGCCAATTATTAATATACACTTATTGGGATTTTACCAAAGACATGTAGCAGAATACATTTTGGCCCAAATTTATTATTACATTTTATTTCTTTATTCATTTCTATAGTAAAAAATTAACAACCCAGTGGTGGGTTCAAATACCACAAAAAAAGCTCTGTTTCTCTGAATAAAAAAAAATGATAAAGAAAACCTATATCATTTCATTTGGACATGATTGAGGGTACAGCATTGCATGACCATGCAATTGCCAGTTAAAGTAGTGCAGTGCTGAATAGCAAAAATTGGCCTGGTCATGGGGAGGGGAAGTAAAACCTTTCAGAGTGCAAGTGGTTAAAATGGTTATAAGCCCTTAAAATACCCAGTGAAGCGACTGGCCTCAGGTGATACACAGAGATGAAACAAATCCTTCTATATAAGCTGTACCTGTTTATCTGCAGCCTTCTCTTCTCTACAGCCGTTCAAAGTCCAGAATTTTATAAATCAGGTTTGAGCTTTCAGAAATCAGGGGCAGAGAGCTGAAGTTACACTCTGCAGAGCTCAGTGAGGAGAGCTCTGAGAGATGACTGGAGGGAAGAAACAAGCCCCCCCCCCCCCTTTCAAATGGCACACAGGATCAGAACTGAGGCTGTCAGCCTACTGGAGGTCCCTTCCCTGTCTCAACTTTTCTCTTGGTGTCAGGAAAACTTTCAGAGCACTCAGTGCTCTCAGTTGAGTGCACACTATAGAGAACTATGCATTGTTCAATGGTCTGACCTCTTTAAGTTGATGGTCAGTGGAAATAATGCGTCTTACAATCGTGGTCATTGGGAAGAATCCTGCTCTTACAAGAGGTGCTACTGGGATGTTTTCTGAGTGGCAGAACTTTCTCCTTAATCAAGGAACCCCTTTCAACCTCTGGAGGAACCCTAGGACTTCACATAATCCTTGTTGAGTGCCCTGGTGGGTGCATAGAATTAAGAGGCTGCTGGAGTGAGGGGCAAGCTGGAGTGAGTTGGCTGTTCCAGAAGTTATGTTGCTAAGAGTGAAGAACATTATTACAAGAGTATGAGATGAGGCCTTGGCAAGACATCTCCGGACTTCTGTGCAGAAGCAATAGACATTGAGACATTACAAATGACAAATGAAAGTTCTTGAGACAGTTTCATACTAACAGTGGTGCTGACGTCTATTATTCCTCTATTATAGACTTGTTATTTATGCCAGGCACTTGAATATTACATCACCTGTAGACACTGTTGTTGCGTACATGGCCTCAGTGAACTGTTTGCTCAGTCTTAGCCTACGCAGAGTCAATGATCTTCCCCTTTTGGACTCTGAAGTAAAACCTATCAGTCTGTGTTTGTGCCTTTCTTGCCAAGAGGGCATTATTTGCCACACCTATGTAGGGTGAGCTGAGGTTGCGATATTGGAGTGTCTGTAATAGTGGTATAGCCTTTTCACTCCCTGTTTCAGTTGGTTTTTATATGCACAATTTAGTTGGTAAGATTACACATTATATAACCTACATAACAAGGTACTGTAGGTTATATAACCAATACTAATGTCTGGGCAACTAAGAAAATTATTATTGACTTAGGTACATAAAATTAATATGACAATCAAACATTTCGGTAAGCAAAAAACTTAACCACTTACCGACCGCAGATAGCCGAATGACGGCTGCACTGCGGCCGGCCAGTTCTGGGTGGGCGTCATATGACGTCCTCCCAGAACCCGCTCTCCTGCGTGCCCCTGGGGGCGCGCACCCGGCGATCTCCATGATCGCTGTGTCCTACGGACACAGCTGATCACGTGATGTGGTAAAAGGCCAATCACAGCGGCCTTTTACCACGTGATCAGCCATGTCCAATGACACGCTGGTCACAGGGAAATGCAATTGCCAGTTCTCGGCTGCACTTTCCTCACGCTGTCAGATCATGAGGAAAGTACTGCTGAGAACCTGCAGTTGTTAGAGCAGGGATCAGCACTGATCATCAGGGCACTGATGATCAGTGCCCTGATGATCGGTGCCCAGCAGTGCCACCCACAAGTTCCCCCCCACCTGTGCCCAGCAGTGCGCCCACTAACTCTGCCCACCTGTGCCCAGCAGTGCATCCACCTGTGCCAAGCAGTGCACCCCCACCTGTGCCACCCAGCAGTGCACACAAGTGTGCCCACCAGTGCCACCCACCTTTGCCCAGCAGTGCTGCCAGTCAGTGGCCAGCGATTGTGCCAGGCAGTGCCACCAGTCAGTGTCACCAGTATCAGTGCCACCTATCAGCTGACAGTACCCATCATCAGTGTCACCTATCAGTGCCGCCTATCAGTGCCGCCTCTCAGTGCCCGTCAGTGCTGCCTCATCAATGCACATCAGTGAAGGAGAAAAATTACCTGTTTGAAAAATTTTATAATAGAAACAAAGAAACTTTTTTTTTTTTTTTTTTCAAATTTATGGCAATTTTTTGTTTATAGCGCAAAAAGTAAAGTGCCCAGCGGCGATTAAATACCACCAAAAGAAAGCTCTATTTGTGAGAAAAAAATGATAAAAATTTCATATGGGTACAATCTTGCATGACTGCGCAATTGTCAAAGTGCGACAGCGCTGAAAGCTGAAAATTGGCCTGGTAAAGAAGGGGGTATAAGTGCCCGGTAGGCAAGTGGTTAATAAAAATGATATTGTACATGGAGAAATGAACACAGGCACAGTTTAAAAACATGTCTACTGTAACTCCTACATGGTTCGATTTTCGAACGATTTTTTTGTTCGAAAATCGGACCTAAGAATAATCGGCCGATTTTTCACTCTGTTGGTGAAGCAATGGCACCGGCTGATTTTCGTAGTTTCTCCCAATTTCATTTATCGGGCATGCTGAAAAATTTGTGAAACACGATTGATTTTCTAAATCATTGGTGGCACCATCGGATTACAGAACGAACCATGTTTTCGATGTTCGATCGAAATTAGACCCATGTATGGCCTGCTTAAGTGTATCTGGTATTGTGCTGGGTGTGCAATCAATTGTGCGCCATCAGCACTGTGACTGAGTTGTCACCTACAGCTCCTGGTCATGGTGTAAAAATCAGGAGCCAGTAGGAAGGGTTCCACAGTCACATGAATACTGTGACAGCCAATCACAATGATCACATGATTGAAAAAGACTAATAAAACATTTACCACCAAATAAAGGTGCAATTTGTCCTTAAAAGGGATAATTCACTAAGGGATATATTAAAAAAATAAAAAGTGCTGTATGAGTGTGACAAACATTTGCACAGCTGCAAAGAAAAATTGCAGTATTTTCTCTGATATAATCATTTCTAATAATCATAGGTGTCATCTAGTGGCCAAAATGCAGTATTTTTCTAAAATACCTCAATTAGGAAAATACTGCATTGTGGCCACTGGACGGAGCTGACAATCTTAGGACATATTAGCCTAAATATGATGATTGTTTTTTTGTTTTGGTTGTGTAAATGTTTGTTACATTCACGCAGCAATTTTTTTTATAAAAACAGATATGTATAGTTTTAACAACACATGCCAACATTGCAAAACTGGGTTCACTTGATAAGGTGTGTTTTTTGCCTTACATCAACACAAACAAATTAATCAAAGCCAAATCTTATGGGACAAACAATATATAAATACAATATATCCAGCTGTACACCAAACCTATTTTCCCCTTAATAATTCCTCAAAGATCCTTACCCTGTCCCATCTACAGCCCAACTTCAGGCCTTTCCCTGGGTCTATTTCTCCCAGCCAAAAGGTCAGCTCTCATGAGGTAGCAATTTTTTTTAAAAATCCCCAACAACACACTTAGACCTTGTTTACACCTGTTTTGCTCTTTGGAGAGCGATCTGCATCCTATAGCATTATATAGGCAATGGGCAGGCATTGTATTGCCTGCATGTGTTGTGTAAGGCTGTGGGTCAGTTGTAGCGCTACCCCATTCACTTATATGGGGTGTGTTAGGCGTTATGTAAAGGAGTCCTTAGACTCCATTTGTATAGGTGTTTAGCCATGCTGTGAATTCCAGTGGCAAGCTCCTACTGATTTCTGTTGCTGAGATGCACTTCTGTGTGTGGATAGCTGCAACCACTGAGCTTGTACACTGTGGTGACAGGCTGTTGGGGGCTGCAGGTATTTGTGACTGTTTACACAGCGGTGATAGTTGCTGGATGCACGTTGAGCGCAATGCACATGCAAAAAAACTGATGACTTTTTTTAGTATACTGTAATGCTGGCTTTGATTAATTACAGCCGACAATTATTGTATACTGAGAGGGGGGCTCCCATATAGCCCAGAGAGACTGGACATGCTACACATGTCCTGTGTACAGTGAGGCCCAAAATATGCAACTAGTTAAACAAAATGGACTTTATTGATGTACAATTATTGTTTGTTGGCAATTTTGTCTCACCTGGAGTTATGGTGGCCATATGCACTTTGATTCTTTTGTCTGATCCATGTTCGATTTGATCAAAATGATCAAACCTCACAATCGTATAGCCATAACTTCCCTTTCAGTCGATTTTTAAAATTTTAAATCAGATTAAACAAACTGAGTGAATCAGACAGGGCAGAATATTATCCATCGTTTAGCATCAAATGGCAGCACTGTGATGTTTTGTTCATGAATGCCATAGTATTTTAATTGATCAGATTATGAAATAACATGGTGGAAACAGAAATGCAATTGATGACTTACAGTAATAAGTTAACTATCACTTGAAATCCACTTCCCTGTGTGCCATATCAATGACAGAGGTTGTCAACTATGGATCGATTGTTACTACCATAGGGGTTAAATCAGAAAAGATATCAATCATTTATCAAAGCATGTACGGCCACCATTAGGGTGTTGTATGTCTGAGAATTGTTGATTTTTAAAATTCAGGAAAAAAATAAAGATTATGTAGGAAACAAATAACAAACAAGCAAAGACAGCGAAGTCAAAAGTTATGGCTAAAATACATGTCCAGACTATAGACTTGCGAAAAAGTCAAAATAAATGGCAATCAGGGTAGTCCTAAGTAGAGAAGATTGTTGCTGCCACCTCGTGGTCTTTAACCAATCAGTACAAGCACAAGTTTGATTAGCGTTTTGTCTCAAGGACAGGAATAGAGAGAATATACACTATATTGCCAAAAGTATTGGGACGCCTGCCTTTACACGCATATGAACTTTAATGGCATCCCAGTCTTAGTCCATAGGGTTCAATATTGCGGTAGCCCACCCTCTGCAGCTATAACAGTTTCAACTCCTCTGGGAAGGCTGCCTACAAGGTTTAGGAGTGTGTCTATGGGAATGTTTGACCATTCTTCCAGAAGTGCATATGTGAGGTCAGGCACTGAAATCAGAAAACAGGCCAGTCTCCACTCTCTTCAATTCAAACCCAAACGTGTTCTATCAGGTTGAGGTTAGGACTCTATGCAGGCCAATCAAGTTCTTCCACCCCAAACTCACTCATCCATGTCTTTATGGACCTTGCTTTGTGCACTGGTGCACAGTCTTGTTGGAACAAGAAAGGGCCATCCCCAAACTGTTCCCACAAGTTTGGAGCATGAAATCATGCAAAATGTCTTGGTATGTCTTGGTATGCGGATGCGGATTACTGTACCACGCTTGAATTCACTGAGCTCCTGAGAGCGACCCATTCTTTTACAAATGTTTGTAGAAGCAGTGTGCATGCCTAGGTGCTTGAGTTTACACACCTGTGGCCATGGAGGTGACTGGAACACCTGAATTCAATGATTTGGAGGGGTGTCCCAATACCTTTTGGTAATAACAGTGTAAATGGAAACCTGTGAGCAATTATAAATTACCTTAAAAAACTATCTATTCAAATCTAAAAAGTGAAAAATATAGCTGTCCACACCTACACATACTCCTATAAAAAGCTATGCTATATGCTAAATGACATAAATCATACAATAACCATTTCTCTCAAAAATACATAGTGATATAAAAAAATATAAGCATGAAAAAAATTCCAATATGAAGAGGACAATAAAAAAAAAAATGCACAAAAACTATGAACTAATATAGTGCATCTCCACAGCGTGATCCTTTCATCTCAAAAGACTTAAGCCGTAAAAATCTTCCTTTTTTCATATATAGTGCATGTTCCCCAACACTGACACCAGTTGTGCTCTCACCTGAAATTTTTGACTTCACAACCAAGTATGGTAAAAAATAGCTTGCGTCCTCTAGGTGGACATGTATGGATGGTATGACATCTACCAAGATTCTCCTTCACTGTTGATTCAGCTCCTTCCTTCTTCAGGATACTCAGTGTGCACTGGTGATTAGCCCTTTCTGCTAATCACCAGTGCATACTGAGTATTCTGGAGCCTTTTTGGATCTGAATGGAGCTAATATCGTCTGGACTTTTGTCCTTTGCTGACATCTAGTGGTGGAATTGAAAATTGATCCTCAATTAAAATCCTTTTTCCCTACATTTTCCTTGCTACTTGAATTGCAATATTTAACAGATGATATCTGATGCCCATTATATCCTCTACAACTGTTTTGGATGTGTAGGCCAATTAAGATCTTTTTTAGGTCATTTTCTCCTAGCTCCATGAGCTTTCACATCCAGGACTGCCTTGGCAGTAGAAATTTCCTCAAATCACCCCCCAAGAAGCCCGTGAGGGCAAAACATGTAGGGAGTAACTACATTTACCTAACCAAGTTTGAATGTCAGTTAGTATTCTTAGAACTGAAATTGTTTTTATGTTGCTGTATTTCTTCTTTTCTTTGTGTTTTTTACAAAAATACGAAATAAACATTATATAACTTTTAATGTGTGGTATTCATATCCATGCACCCTGAAAGTCCCCTCTTCTCTATTGAATATTTATTTTTAAAAAAATCCAGGTCTTGTCAAGAGACACTCACCGAATGACAGTCTCTTGCTGGTAAGTAAACATGGCGGCGTGGTCACTCAGTGACATGTTTACTTACTAGCAAGCTGCTGTCATTTGACAAGTGTCTCTCAGTGGTGTTCAGCAGGCGATGGGTGATTTTGATTTTTTTTTTTCATGTGGGTCGTCAATCATTGTCATTGACACTGAATTTACATTGGGGACATTTTTTTTTTTTTTTTATTATTAAATAAAGGACTTGTCAAAAACTGTCTTTGTGGGGTTTTTTTTTTTTTTTTTATTTTGACATTTTGGGGGGGAAAGAGTAGGAGTCCTATGTTCTCCATTCACATGAGGGGGCAGGATCTGGGAGCCTCCATGTTAAAGGTGGTTTCCAGATTTCGATAAGCCACCCCCTCAACCACGGGCCAGTGTTGTGGGGATCAGGCCATTGTCCTCAACATGAGGACAAGGTGCTTTTACAGGGAGCCCCCTCCCTCAACGACCCTCATATGTTGAGGGCATGTGGCCTAGTATGGTTCAGGAAGGGGAATGCTTTCTCGTACCCCCCCCCCTTCCTGGCCTGACGGGCTGCATGCTCAGATAAGAGCCTGGTATGGATTTTGGGGGGACCCATGCCTTTTTTGTTTCTTTTAATTTTGGCATGGGGTTGCCCTTAAAATCCATACCAGCTATTTACTGTACATTTGTTATTTTGTCCATTCTAAAATTCAAATACATCTAATTCTCCGAAAATCTAAATTTCGTCCAAAAGGCTAATGGTAGCTAAAAGTAACGCACATGTCTTCCCACATATGAGGCCTCATATAGGTGTGTCCTGTTCCATGGAGATGCAAATGTATGTACTGGAAGCATCATTACGGGTTAAAACCCCTCTCTGGGATAATGATGGACCCCCTACCAACTCCTCTAACTGATTGCTGTGTTAGAATAAAAAGTCGGGGTCAAAGGCTAGGATCAGTGTGTTTGAGGGATCAATTATACCTGTGGTGCCTTCTGAAGAGCGATAAACCATAGATCTCTCTTCACAAGGCACAAAGGCCTGAAGTGATTGCTGTGCTTTGCCATTCCTCCAGGGAGCCTGGGACTATGGGAAATGGTTCCAATACAGAGCAGGTAAGGGAATTAATTCCATCACTACTGTGCTTGATCAGCTGCCCTGATGTCTCCATAAAGAGGTCCTTTTTTCCTGCTGATTTGCTGCCCTTATGTCTCCATAAAGAGGATCTGTTTCCTGTCCAATGCTATCATATAAAAGCATCCCCATTTCCCCCGTACACACCTGAATGCAAATGTTCACGTAGGGCATGCACATGTCAAGAAATGTGAATTGCACTATTGATATGACGGATCACCATGAACATCGAAATGGGAGCAATAATTCTTGAGTGACCATACACTGATAATCTGTAAAGGCTTTTCAAGTGTCATCAATGGACAATTTTGGGTATTTGCGCAAATTTAAGGCCTGACATGTTTGATATTTATTTAAACTAAAACTTATTGTAGAGAATTATGTTTTTCCTGAAAATGAGCGTTTGATAAACAGTTGCACAGATAAAGTGTGAAAAAAACAATTGAAACTACCACCATTGTGTTCTCCAGGACCTCTATTGTTTTTAACCACTTCAAGTCCGGACACTTTCACCCCCTTCCAGTCCAGGCCAAGTTTCAGCTTTCAGCGCTGTCACACTTTGAATGAAAATTGCATGCAATACTGTACCCAAATTAAATTTTTATAATTTTTTTGAGAAAGAACTTTCTTTCAGTGGTATTTATTCACCAATGGGATTTTTATTTTTTTGCTATATAAATGAAATTTTGGAAAAAAAATTGTTTTGGCCTTGTACCACATGACCTCTGTGATCATTCACAGAATTCACAAGTAGCAAACAATGATCTCAGGAAGTGATATCTTGTTTACTACTATTCATGCATGCTGATGGCATTCCCCCTCTGATGATGTGCCATAGCACGAAAGGCCTCAGGAGGAGCCAACAGCACGTGTGACTTTTCTGCACCGCCGTGACCACAAGCAGGTCCGGCGGCTTCTTACTGTGCCGGGTCAGTACATGTCTTTTCTATTGCTCTAATACTGGCAGTATATGCATACATGTACCCCTGGTTGTTACTCTATCTGTGACCTAATAAATCTATTTGAAACCTACTACACTATTGGCACTCCCTCTCTGTTTTAACCCTCTCTCTGAGGGTTTCAGATCTATAGCAGCTGGTTCCTGGTGCACCTTGTATCCAGAAGAGGGAGCTCATCCACCTTCACTTACTGGCTTTAAGTGTTCTCTGGACCTTGCTACATATCACTGCACCCAAGGCTGATGATCGACCTGGGAGGGATGGTCCGTGTGTCTGGCTGATTACCTGATAGATGGTCATATACATGCGCATTTTTAATGTGCGGTCGGTGAGTGCGCATTTTATCTATACGGTTCCAGTCACCTATTTTATAGAGAAGATTCTCACTGCAAGTTTTTCTACAAGTTTTTTTGCATTTATGGAGAACTCATGAACTTAATGCTCACATATTTGTTCACATACCTATTTATATGTATTACAGCGCTGCACTATATATTTTTAATACTTATGATATGAGGTCTGGTGATTTCTTTGAGTGTTCTAGCAGCTGATTACAATGAGCGCTCGCTATATTTCCTTTTAATTTTGTCTTGTTTACTACTGTTCATGCATGTGATCACTGATTGACCAATCAGTGATCACATGAATTGGGATCTCACACAGCGGCCCCGAACAGCGATCTGTGTGTCTGGTGGACACAGCTGGCACAGATTGTGGTGCTGTGTGGTTCCAGGGAGCACACACAGGCAGTGGATGCGGGGAGACGTTTAGAAACATGCACCCACATCAGCAATGCTGGACAGAAAGAAGTTAAAGCTGAGTTCCAGGTATGGCAATTTTTGCATACCGTACTTACATTGTTTCAGTTTAGACTCAATTTCACTGGGCCGCATCAGCATTATGGTTGCCCTCAAAGGTACGGTTGTATCTGTAAGACTAGATGTCCAGAGCACCGTACTCCCCTTACATCAGATGTCAAGAGCCTCCCCACCAACAGAAGTCAAGAGTCTCCCACCCTCCCTTACATCACAGTGCACCCACTTGCCTTGTGCCGCTGCTGGGGCAGAGCTAGGAAGAAGAAAGTGCAGGGTCTGGAGAAGGACTGAAGTCACCTGAATGCTGAGACCAGGGGAGGTGGAGATGAGGGGGTGCTGCATCAGCATAGAGAGACGCAGGATCTGTAGGAGGAGTTCTGTCCTCCTTTCTGTTGCCAGCTGCTGAGTCAAGGTGGGGTTCCACGGCTGAAAGAGAAGTGAGAGGGCCACTTGAAATGGACTGGAGGGCCATATTTGGCCCTCGGACCTTGTGGTTGATACATGTGCTCTAAAAGCTGCAAATCACTGAAGCTGAAGCAGGCACTGTTAATCCAGTGATCTCTACCAGCTTCTGGTTCCCATGCTGAGTGGCTTTATTCTGAACACAGGAGGTCAACCGCTTGTCACAGGCACCATTCTCAATTAATGTAAAACATTCTCTGAATGGACAAGGTGGAGAGTGTGATGTCACTGCCCTACAGACCTACCTCATTCAATCAAAGAACTCATTGAGAAAATGCAAGGCATTCTATGAATGGTGCCGATGCCAAGCGAGTACCCTCCTGTGTTCACAGTGCAGCAGGGCAAATGCTCATCATGGGATAGTGGAGTGGAGATCACTGGAGTAGCAATGCCTATTACAGTGATTTCGAGCTTCTAGAGGGATCCCACACGTAGGGAAAGGATAAGGGGGTGAGACAGAAGGGGCTAAACTGTGCAAATATAAATCCAATGGGTTTCCTGTTGGCATACCCTTCTGGATGGCTACCATGTCTTTCTGTAAAATGTCTGGTAACTGAATGGTTGGTGATATCATTTAGTACATGTAAATGGTAACAACCAGGGCTTTGTTTTCTCAGGGAATAAGTGCAGGGACTCCCCCACTTCCAAGTCACCTCTGATCTCCACCTTTACCCACTTCTGAGCACCATTTCTTGGTTATACTCCCTATCCACCTCCCAGTACTACCCCTTTTGGGGAATACAGAACCAAATATAATTTTGTGGTGCTAAGTAATTTGTATGAAATTTGCTAATAATAACAAGAAAAGCAGTAAAATAACACCCCTACAGCAAACAGAACTAGACCCCCCCACAACAATAAACCTCCTAGCAATGATAGATCCTTCCAGCAACAATAGATCACCCATCAGTCGGCATCTAAAGAGCCACCAGCAGCTAACAACAATAGACCAGTTCCCTCAACAGTAGATCCCTTCCAGCAACAACTGACCCCCCCCTTCCCCAGCAATATAAGATCCCCCATCAGCAACATTAGACTTCTCCAACAACAACTGATCACCTGCAACAATAGAGTCCACCCAGCAACAATAGATCCCCAGCAGTCAGCAGCAATAGACCCTCCAACACACAGTAGCACCCCTTTCCATTACATACATTTAGTGCTGTAACCGTGTTCCCCCATGTACTTGCTGAATTAAAAGCCCTGGTAACAACATACTAAGTGGTATTACCAACCATCACTATATGACCATTTGCTTTCAGTATGTTTTAATACTTATGTCACATAAGTGGCAAATGGTTTAAAAATTGCCTAAGTAGACAAATGACAAATTACTGCTGGACATGATAGGGTTAAACACACACTGCTAGAGAATATTGCAGATATCACTGCACAAGATCATGACAGTAAATTCTGATTTTGCCAAATGTCAGGATGTAACAATGAGAAATGAGACTTGGAATGACAGCTGGTTATGAATAGAAAGGGATATCTCAGGTGTGAATATTCCATAGTGGAGTAGGGCTACAGCTGGCATGAGAATGATTACACTGTATTACTTTATGTACTTAAAGTGTTACTAAACCCACAACAGTAAAATCAGCCTATATATGCAGTAAAGCATGCTTGTTATACTCACTGAGGAACCTAAGGGGTTAATCCTCTGCATTGTGTAAAAAGGCTGTCTGATCCTGATTGCCCTGTTCCTCCTCTTGTTTACATGACCACCTCTTATCTCTTATAAGATAAGACAGACTGAACCATAGGCATTTTGCACATGCTCAGTTTGGTGTGTATAGCTAGAGAGGTTTTTTATTTCTTGGGAGAGTGCATGTGCTCAGCACAGGGTCAATCAGCACTGTCTAGATAGAGTTCAGGGGTTTTGCATTCACCTAGAGCAAAAAGAAAACTCCTCCTAGAAGCTTTAGTTAGTGCTTGGCTGAACACTGATAGAGCAGTCTTGTGGCTTCTAACTTCTGATGAGAAAAGGTATTTAACAGTATATATTTACTAAAATAATTGCATTTCCATGTTCTGTGTACTGTGGGAGACCAGATATAGTGAACACAGGGTCCTGGGTTTAGTAACACTTTAAAGTGGCTACGATAGTTAAAGTATTACTAAATCAAGGACCCTGAATTCACTCTATCTGGTCTCCCACAGTACACACTACATAAAAAGCAATTATTTTAGTAAATATAAACTGCTTTTCTCATCAGCAGTTAGAGCAGTCTCATGACTTCTATCAATGTTCACTGGTAAAGCTGGTTAAAGCTTGTAGGAGAAGTTTTCATTCTGCTCTAGGAGGAAGCAGAACCCCTGACCTCTGTCTGTACAGTGCTGATTGGCCCTGTGCTAATCACATGCACTCTCCCAAGAAAAAAAAAAGGAGGGGGGCAACGGGACAGGAGAGGCCACTAATTCATTGAGTTTGGAAATTAAACTTGTGCCAATGCCTGCCGATACCACTGTCAGAGAGAACATCCCATTAAATGTTTTGTGTTATTGTTCTACAGAATAAAAGGATATTAAATAAATAAGAAGAAACAAAAAGGTCAGTCTTAAGTACATACACAATGTGAAGATAAAATAAGACAATTGTGTAGGCTGCCATTGCTGACCTTTCTTCTTTTTTTGAGAAGGCTATTTCTTTTGTTTTTTGATTACATACTACAAGTAACATGACACATGTAAGATTCCAGGACTGCTGTTGACATGCATAATAATGATGTTTCTGCTTTGTGGCGGTGCTGTGTTTCTCTCTTTTCTGGAACAATTGTTGCTCCGGCAGAATGAGCTACTTTCCTATAGACTCTAGTATGGAGAGGAGTATTTGAGCATGAGTCCGCCTAGAGTGAAAAATTCTGCTTCGGCTTGTCCCTTTGCTGTCATGCTGCTAATGCTTTTTGAGCCACTGACCTGAATACACATACTGTAGAACAAGGAAATATTACATTCCTGAAGAGTTAACTACTTTAGAAATATCCTTCTGTTAACCACCAGGGCTGCCATCAACTTTAGGCCTATCCCCCCCCCTCCCCACCCCTACTTGACCACCAACATTCCCTTCCACTGAATCCTCCCACTGGCCATCCCATGTCCTCCATTCCATGTCCTCCTCTAGTCCCATCTCCCCCATCCCATGTCCTCCTCCAGTCAATTCTCCTCCATCCCATGTCCACCAGTCCCATGTCCTCCATTCCATGTCTTCCTCCTCCTCCAGTCCCATGTTCTCCATCCCATGTCTTCCTTTACCAGTCCCATCTCCTCCTTCCCATGTTCTCCTTCAGTCCCATCTTCTCCATCCCATGCCCTCCTCCCCTCCAGTCTCCTCCCACCAGAAGAGGGGCGCAAGGTGACAGGTGGGGGGGGCAGTGAGACAGGAGGGGGGAGCTTCACAGGAGAAGATTAGTGGGACAGAAGGGGGGCAGCATGACAGTCAAGGGCAGTGGGATGGGGGCAGTGGGACAGGAGGGGGGCAGCATGACAAGAGGGGAGAGTGTCACTCACTATGTGCTCACACACACCTTGGGAAGCACCAGTCCTCTCAGATCTCATCTGTCCAGCAGTGGCTCCTCCAGATGGTATCAGTGGAGAGGATCTGGTGCCAGGAGGGGTAGCTGAACCTGTGTTCTATCACCACCAGGATCTCAGCTGCAACAAAGAGTGGGCGGGCTCCTGTACTCTAACTTCTTCCTTTTCTTCCTCCTCCTTCATGGGGCCCTCCACTGGCACCACCTGGCCTCACCCACCCACCACAGCCCAGTGCACACTGGAGTTCCTGACCGGAGCCTGCCTGACAGCTGGCTCCAACCGCTCTTTGCATACACCTGGGATCCCCCCACCATCCCCCCCCCTTTGCAGCCGGTCCGCATCTGCCAACAGCTGTCCCGTGTTAAAGACCTGACTGGTCTGGGCCCCTCAACCCCTTTATTTGTGTATTGCCCCCCCCCTCAATGACAGCCTTGAGGGCAACACAATGGATTATAGGTATTACATTCTTTCCACTAATAGACCATATGCAAGTGACTGCTGTCTGTAACAGAAAAAAAACGCTCTAGAAAATTAGTGACTGAATTTACTACATCAATGCAGCTACTGTACATCATCTGATGTCATAAGAATTGCAACATTTCCCTCACAAAAAAAGAACATTATGAGCAGAAAGGAAAAATATATTGTCTTTACACACATTTTAGTTCCTCAAGAAGTAGAAAAAAGGTCTTTGAACAAATTCAAAGAAATTCTAATAATGTTTTGTAAAATGTTCTACTGGTAATTCTTTAAACAGGCAATTCTGTTTCAGCAAATTTAGGTGAGAAATATAACATTTGTCCTTCTGTCTTTTTAGGCCATTCTAATACCTGGACAGTTTATTGCTGGTTTCACAATACTCAGGAGATGAATGACAAAACAATAGTTTCAGTTCACAAAAACACAGATCTACATTTTTGCTTTCAATCAGTTTCAGTTAATTTTTTCTTTAAATAATACAGATTTCGCCAAAAGAATATTTTTACAGTGTGCAAGTGCTTACAAACATATGGAACATGGAAACATTGTATATCAGTATGTATTCATCAGCCATGCCTTTGAGTAATCATTTGCATTTTTTCCTCCAAGAAAACCCTACATATTTATGATGACTACTAAAAACTGCCCTCCCTCTGCCATAGGGTCAAGCATTCTGATTTGGCTGATTTAAATATAGTTAGCACTAATGGTTAGCACTTCAGCCTGCCAGTACTATGGTCATTGGTTCAAATCCCAACCATGGCACCACATGCTTGGAGTTTGCATGTTAAAGAGGTAACACCAGCCAATACAACAGCATAGGACTGTTTACAAAGTCATAGAATGGCCAGTGCTGGTAACCAAAAATGAGGTCTTGTAGCTTGTGAAGGCTATAACCACAGCTGCTCAATAAACCATAGGAGACATATGTGAATAGAACAGTAGCTGATACTGAGCACTATTGGCATAGAGCCAAATTAAAAGTATTGAAAATTAGCAAGGATGATGACAATGTTATGCAGAGTAAAAAAGAAGGATTTTATTGTCCACTTTAAAGGAAAAAAACCATTGTTCATAGTCATATGTCCAATGTAATTGAAGGAAAAAGTGAGTGATATAGCCCAAATGTGGTCAATAAAATTGGCTTACTGCTGAGGAAATAAGTACATCCAGAAAAGGGTGCAGGAGGCGGTGGAGAGGAATCCTGTGGGCTGCTCTGCTGGAAGATAGGTTGTCAACTGTGAGAAGGTACCACTCACAGAACAGGATGCTGCCTTTGATATCCCTGGAACTCAAGGACCGAAAATTACATTGACAAAGCACGTATCTGTGCAAAACGCATCCACATAGCAACCAGGCACTCTGGCTTCTCTGTCCATCTGTCAGTGTCTATCTGCCAGTTTCTGTGCTTCACTGACGTCTTTTCTGGTCCTCGAGATCCGGGGATATCCAAGGCAGCATCCTGTTCTGTGAGTGGTACCTTCTTACAGTTGGCAACCTATCTTCCAGCAGAGCAGCCCACAGGAATATTTTGGTTTGGTGTGTATTCCTAGAGGTTTTTGTATTTCTTGGGAGAGTGCATGTGATCAGCACAGGGCCAATTAGCACTGTCCAGACAGATGTCAGGGGATTTCCATCCTCCCAGAGCAGAAAGAAAACTCCTCCTACAAGCTTTAGCTAATGGTGGGCTGGACACTGATAGAAGTCACAAGACTGCTCTAACTTCTGATGAGAAAAGTATTTAGCAGTTTATATTTACTACAGTAATTGCACTTCTATGTTCTGTGGGAGACTAGATATAGTGAATGCAGGGTCCTGGGTTTAGTAACATTTTAACCAGACACAGCGGGCACTGGGTTGTGGTGGCGCACACTCCCATGGAGCGCGCACAGGCAGTGAATGTGCAGGCCGCTTATAAATGGCCACCCGCTCCTGCACTGTTCCCGTCCAGCCGTTTAGGTACTTGGGCCAGATGGGAGCAGTGCAGGAGCGGGTGGCCGTTTATAAATGGCCTCCACATTAAGTGCCTGTGCGCGCTCCCTGGGAGCGCACGGCACCGCAATCTGGCGCACACTATGTCTGTGTGAGGTCCCGATTTGTGTGATCACTGATTGGCCAATCAGTAATCACAGGAACAGTAGTAAACAAGATGTCACTTCCTGACATCATTGCTTACTACTTGTGAAATTTGTGAATGATCACAAATGATTCACAACAGCCTTGTACCATGTGACAAGCTGTGACCAATCACAGCTCACACAGTATTTCTCAATGGCTGCAAAAATGCAGCCAGAGAGAAGGAGAAATGATTGCTCTAACAGCCTTTATGGGTGTGAAATCAATCAGTGTAAAAAAAGAAAAAAAAAATCTTCATCACCCCCCACAAGTGGTGCAGTGTCACTATGGTGACACTGTACTGCTAGGGTGATGGTATGTAAAAACAAAAACCATAAATAATATAAAAAGGTAAAAAAGTTTTTGAAAAATTATAATTTTTGGTTATAAACTAATTTGGGTTATTTTTTTTTTTTTTTTTACTAAAACGATAGATGAATACATTTTGGCCAAGATTTATGAAGAAAGATTATTTATTTGCAAAATGTTATAAGAAAAATCCTTTTGTTTTTCAAAATGGTTGGACTTTTCATTTATATAGCAAAAAAAAATAAAAATCCCAGTGGTGAATAAATACCATCAAAATAAAGTTGTACCTGTCTCAAAAAAAATGCTAAAAAATTCATATGGGTACAGTGTTGCATGACCATGCAATTGTCATTTAAAGTGTGATAGCGCTGAAAGCTGAAAATTGGCCTGGACGGAAAGGGGTAAAAGTGTCCGGACTTGAAGTGGTTAAGGGGATTCTATGGTCACAAAACACACTTTCATTTTACAACATCAGCTTTGTAATAGCAATATGAACATGTTGTTAGACAATTCCATATAAGCTTACTTGAAAAAATCTCCTTTCATGTTGTGAGTGCTGCCTGTCTGCTGACCATTTCTTTCCACAACTTCCTGGATTTCCAACATACTTTGCAGGTTCTCCTTTATTGTTTACTTTCCATTTCTAAGGACTACATATCCCATAGTAACTTGCTGGCTGCAAAATGTGATTCCTGTACTGACTCCACCTCCTGAAACTCCTCCTCCTCTATCACCTCTGTAGTTCAGAAGGCAGGCTCTGTGAATTCTGTGACACAGCTTTGCCTACTCACAGGGCATAGGGAATACGTTACATAAGTAAAGGTGTGGGGATCTTCCAAAGTAATTAATGATCTTGAAATGCTGCAATTTTCCAAAGTAAGTTTACACACTTCGAGATTGTTCAGATTTAGGCCCCTTATGCACAGTAGGACTCTGTTTTGATCACCAAGGGATCTGTCCGCTGATCATCTGATGATCAGAGCAGAGCGGGTGGATGACAGATCTGTGTCTGCTTTGTTTCTGCAGACATGGACAGAGCCACTTTTACATTGGACTGCCCTCTGATCCAGTCTACCTAGACAAGGGGTATCCAACCTTTTGACTTTCCTGTACCACATTGGAAGGAGGAATTGTCTTGGGCCACACATAAAATTCACTAACAATAAGGATAGCTGATAGGCAGAAGTTGGGCAGATCACACGTTAACAATCACTGATATAGATAATGTACCTATCTGAGTAATAAAACTTAATTTTGTTGTATTATTTTTATTAAAAAAGTAAAAGAGGGCAACATAAAACAAGTGCGATATTTGGTACTGTTTTTTATAAACTAACGCATTGATATCTGTTTCAATGGATGTAATAGCAATTCTTTATGAATTCTCAAGGTGCTCATCAGATATTTTGGTTCTAATTTTGCCCTTCATGTGCTTCATCCTTGGAAATAGTTGCTCACAAATTTAAGTGCTGCCAAAAACCGATGACATGAAGGCGTGATTGTGAAGAATGGGATATTTTTCTTTGGGAAGATAAAATCTATAAAAGTCCAGTAAAGAGGCAATGTCAGGTTTTTCTTTTGGACGCATATGTTCGCTAAGTGTAAACACATTTTCAGAAAAAATTCCAAAAACAAATCAACATTTTTTAAAGTGAGTTTATGATTATGTATTGGGCCGCATTCATAGCTGACTTGGGCCAGCTTGGACACCCCTGGCCTAGACAGAGGAGGACAAATCCCTTTCTGTTTTTTTCTTCTTTTTTTTTTTTAGCAGACCAGATCAGAGGTAGGCTGGTGCAAATGGACAATGACAATCGGACCTGATCTAACTCTTCGTGTGAAAGGGGTTTAATACAGTAGGTGTAGGCTAGAAATAGTTGAATCAATGCAGAAATGAATATAATGATTTTAAATGTTGATACGCTTTAAATAGCAAACACACACAACAGAGTTTCTGACATATTTCTTTTTATTTAAAATTTTTTTTTATTTGAAAGTGATTTGTGTAAAAAAAAAATAAATATTCCTGCAGTTTTATTAAACATAAAACACAATAATCCTTAATGACAATGTATAATGTGTGACATTTACAAAACTATGGAATGTAGTTGACACATCACTTAGAAAGTTTGATTTTCACACAAGCAAAATTAAATTGACAACTTTATATGTCCATTCCATGTAATCTTAATACAGTGTCAGCCTGGGTTCACATACGTGCGGCTCGGTATATATCACATGTGATTCGCACAGGAACCGCACCGCATTGCTGTGCAAATCACATGCGATTTGTGTGCGGTGTGATCAGAGCCACACACTTTGTATGGGTCTATTCGCACAGCACCCGCACCAAAAACATGCAGGACCCATTTTTTAGGTCCGCACTAGAATCGAATCGCATAGGTATTCACACCTATGCGGTCCGATTCTTCACATCGCACCGCGTTATGCGGTCCGCTTTTGGGATGCTGTTAACTTAACGTACACACCTGCAATGGTTCACACGAATGAGGTGCAATTCTGATGCGGTGCGCAAAAACATATCTACAGACAGCGCTGAATAAAAAGTGCAGATTTCCAAGGGATTCTGCTCAGACATTCTTGGGTACAATGTTCTGGAAATGTGCTTTAAATGTTTGTGTTTTAAAATGTTACTCTCTGTACTTTGATTTTGCACTGGATGGGTTTAGCAGAAAGCCAGGGGTTTATGTTACAGTGGAAACTCTCTTGTAAGAATCCCTTTAGAATAGCTCCAGGGTTGCCCAGCTAAAAGAAGTTCCTATGGCAGATCCTGAACATACAGGATGGGTTAAGTCTGGCCACTGGCTTGGCAAACCTTGTATGATGTTCAAAATCACAGCCCATCAAAGGAAGTATTAAAGACAACCATACCATGTAACATAGGCATCCTGCTTTCACCACCAAACCAAAGACAATGGACAAGTTGCCCAAAGGTGCTCAAAGCAGCCCACAGACACTACCAGAGACATGAGTCCTTCTGGCTAAATGCAAGAATATCAGGTTCTCAGGCCTGCATAGGAATTACCTAGTGACTTACCCAAGGATAATTATACAAAACATGATGTTTCTAGTTTGTTTGGAGGACAGAGGTAATGTTTAGTCTTGGTTACCAGTGTTTTACGATCATGCATTCAACAGACCTTCTTCTCAGTGCTTAAAACATGATCAAAATACGTGGTGCACAGGCAAGCACCGATACAAGAAAGGATTTAGTCCTTATACACACTGGACGTTTTTACAGCTGCTCTTTTTGGCTTTTGATGTTTTTTCCTACAGCCAGTAAATTCCCCAGCATGTTATCCTATGTGTCCATGCACACATAGACTGAAGTCAACGTTTTTTTTTTTTGCAGGGGCGCTTTTTGGAAGGAAAGAAAACCCAGAACTAATGGGTTTCTAGAGGAGTTTTTTAGCTGTAAAAACTCTCTAATGCTGAAAAACACGGCAAAACGCGGTAAATGATGTCAAACCAGCATTTTTGAACTTTTTTTGACCCAAAAAATTTTGGGGGGTAAAAAAAAAACTATAAAAAATGCGAACGCAAAAAAAGGCAAAAAAAGTGGTAAAACGCTGCTAAACGCTAATACAAAAATGCTAACAAATGCTGAAAAACTCACATTTTTAGCGTGACTTTACACAGCTAACATTACCAGCGTTATTGAGACGCCCAGTGTGCATAGAGCCTTATGGTTGGTTTTCTTCTCCTTTTGGAGAGATGGTGTAGAATCACTCATCCTTACATCTGATACAGACTTCATAATAATGAACTTAAGTGCAGAGGAGAACATAACTCCATGATTCTCAAGTCAGTGAAAGAAAGTCCTACACACATTGTGGAGGGCTTTCTATTAGATATACAGGGCAGATTTCCTCTTTCTCGGTCTTACTGTAGACATTATGTACATCGCTTTTTAACCATTGCTAGAAAGAAAAAGGGGACACAGTCAAGCATTCTGGCAATAACTGCATAATTTGTAATAGAAGTTAAAGCAATAATAAATACAGTTTCCTGTTAATGTATATTCATAAGGAATTGAAACTGCAACTTCCCTCAATTTTTTTTTAGGGGGGGCGGGAGGATTAACAGCTATTTCTCAATCTTCACATTCAGATGATACCATATGTTCAGTTGCTGCTGTAGCGTGCTATAATCTCCCCAGCTATGGGTTGCCAGATGGCCTGTGGCTTCTCTTCAGAATATGTGGTGAAGGTGCAAGTTATAGTGATTGTAAGAGTTAATTTGTTTTAAATAACAAACATGTTATACTTACCTGTTCTGTGCAATGGTGTTGCACAAAGCAGGCCTAATCCTCTTCTCGGGTTCCCCACAGGTGCTCATGGCTCCTCCCCTCTTCTGACCACCTCCAGAACAAGCTGCTTGCTATGGGGGCACTCATACAGGTTCATTCCTTAGCTGCACTGTGTGTGTCTATTGATGCACACAGAGCAATTTTTCACCCGCCCCCTGCTCTCTCTCCAAAGGCTGTGATTAATAATAGCTCCTGATGCTGCCTCCATGGCTGGTGAAGAGAGAGGGAGCATGGAGAGACCAGCTGCTCTCAAAGCGCTGGATTGAAATCTGGCTCAGGTAAGTACACTGCTCAAAAAAATTAAAGGAACACTTTGAAAACACATGAGATCTCAATGGGGAAAAATATTATGCTGGATATCTATACTGATATGGACCGGGTAATGTCATAGGAACATAAGGATGCTTCATCGTTTTATGTAAAATGAAAATGATCATCCTACAGAGAACT